ATACAGATCTGTTCACTTTTTTGATTCCGTTTGTTTGGGTTTCAAGGATGAATTTTGGTTAAGATTTGGGTTTGAATCCGAGCTTGGTTGAGTTTCCGGTGCTAATTCGGGTTCCGTCCGCGGTTTGTCATATTTTTGAGGGTTAAACATTGAAACACCAATTTTCCGGCTATCTTGAGGTCCAATTCTATCATTCTCTATCCGCTTTATTCAAGCTTAATGTTAAATGTTTGTTTGGTGATATGATCCCGTTGTTTGTGTAGTTGTTTTTTCGTAGTTTTGAAGCTGAACTTGATTTTGTCACAGTATAGAAACTGGGAGCTATTCATCAACTGAACTATGTCAAAGTAGATTAAAGAGGCTCGGATGTACATTTCATGTGACCCTACCATAATTTTGAATAATGATAGTAGAAATAAACATTTTATAAATCCGGGTGTGTATTTCATGTGACCCGATTCTAATTTTCAATAAAGTTAAATAGAACGTGTCGCGAACCGCGGGTGCATTTCATGTGGCGTGGTTCAAGGCGTGGTTTAAATAATGTTGAATCTTCCTAAAATAATCAAAAGCAGTTTTAAAGTTTAAAAAATGCACAATAGTCTAAAACATGTATTAAAATCAGATAATAGGCCAATTATATTAGTTTAAGCGACCGTGCTAGAACCACGAAACCCAAGAATGCCTAACACCTTCTCCCGGGTTAATAGAATTCCTTACTTAGAATTTCTGGTTCGCAGACTTTAAAATAAAAGTCGAATTTCCTGATTTTGGATTTTAAAATAAACCGGTGACTTGAAACATCAAATAAACTATTCCAAGTGGCGAGTCTGATAAAGTAAATAATCTCATTTCGAATAATGTCCCTTTAATTGGAAAAACTCCCTTATATACTTTTCGGGGTGGTAAAAAGGAGGTGTGACAACCATGTGTGAACTTGAAACTTGAAGTTCAGGACCAAGTGTCCTTAACTTTTGAAGTTGGAACTATAAGTTAAGGACTGCTTGTCCTTAACTTTTATACTTGTTAGTCTAAGTTAAGGACAAAGTGTCCTGAACTTTTGAACTTGTAAGTCTAAGTTTCGGACCATGTGTCCTGAACTTTTGAACTTGTAAGTCTAAGTTCAGGACCAAATGTCCTTAACATTTGAACTTGAAACTCAAACTTCAGGACCAAGTGTCTTTAACTTTTCAACATGAAAGGCTAAATTGAGGACTAACTTCTAACTTTGATATTTTCAAAATTTTCAGGGGACAAACTGATATATATGCTGATGATAATGGTGTGAGAAAGAATCCATACAAATTGTATCATCAAAAAATTAGTAGCAAAATGTTCTTCCTTGAGCTTTCAGATAGTAGTTTTGTACTTGATGATAAGGTTTGATAATTCGCAAGGCATTTATTTTCTTCATTCTTAATTTACCATTTTTTTAAAATTATTTTACGGCTGATTGATTTTTTTTTTTTATTTTTTGCCTTTTTATGAAGCATATTGACATTGCCCTATATTATCTGAGAAAGAAGGAATGCTACCACCCTCGCGACCATCCTTTTCGTTGCACAACTACAAATATACTTTTTGATAACTATATGGTGCTTGTGTATAAGGATTTCAATGAAGATGCTACAGAAGAGTTTTGGTGTGGTGATAATCAATTGTTTCTGACACCATATGTGTGGGGTGACAGTCGTAGATGTGGAATTGCTTGGACAGAGTTTGACAAAATCCTTTTTCCATGTCGGCTTCCTTCAGAAGATGATAATGCTGTGACACATTTTCTTTTGGTGGTATTGGACTTGAATGAGAAAAAAATTGATGTGTGCGATTCCATATATAGTGAGCCATATGAGGCAAGAATGAATCACATTGAAATGTATGCACACATGATCTCCACTTGCTAAAGTTCTCACAGTTTGACAAACATCACGTCTTTTGGAAATGCATTCAACAAATTTGATATTTAGTGGCAAAGATCACCACACCAAACTGGATCGTACATGTTGTTATTTGTTATATAATTTGGAAATGTTGCTACTTCTGATCGTTAATAAAAGCGTAACTATAAGTTATAGTACAAGAGTATTTTCGTCCAGTCAAGTATAAGTTTATTAAATCAGTGACTAAAGCCTAAAGACATTTAAAATACTCACTTTAAAATAAAAAAAAGTGCTATTAGTGGCTATTTGGGCACATCGCTCGACATAACACATGGTTTGGTCCAAATCTAACCTAACCCCTTTCCTTCCTTACTACCTTCGAGATAGATTTGAGAAACTCCATTGTTGAAAGTGTGGTACCGCTGTCTCCGCGCATATGCATGCTTACGTGATATGTGCCAATCAACAAATTTGTAAACCTTGTCATAGAGAGTCGCAGTCCCATCAGTTTCTATATGTTTACAGTTTTCTCGAACTATATATAGTCTATATACATACATACTGCATTCANGAGAGGGGGTGAACCTGTCTTTAAATCCTCCTACCACCAGAGAATGTTACCTGTGATTTTTGATATTCTGCTTAACGAACTATCACTAACAAAAAATATGGAGTTTCGTGGTCGAGATAATGGAAACCTCAGTAGGTGCCTTTTGAGGGATCAAAAATCTCTGCCACAGTACCTAAACCCATTTTATTTTATTTATTGTGGAAACTTCAGCTATGATATTGGATGCAAAAATGGTATGAGAATTTCTGAGATTCTGGTGTTTGAAAGAGATTTAGTTCATATGTGTTTCGGCCTTCAGAGCTACTGATGTTTGAGGCGGATTTTGGTCAAGTATTAGAATAAACTGTAAACCTGGTGTACCATTATTCAAACGAAATGTGCTACCTAGTTCTTCTCAATGTTGTTAGTATTTGGTTTGTTTAGATTTTGATTTGGTTATAGGATTTGTAGAAATAGAAGCCAGAGCTTTTCTTTGATGACGCGGTACTGTAGCTGTAAAGTGAAAGCACTTATTGTTCCCTTTCATATAACGTTTCAACTTATTTCCCATCATACAAATTGCAACTTAATTAAGCATGCTTTTAGAATGGTGGATGGCACTAAAATTTTCTCAGAACTAGCTAAGCATTGTATGTACAATATATTCTAGCTAGTTCCTTATGAGCTCAATTATGCATGTCCGTAAAGTCTCACAAGTGCAATTCTACAAGTAGTTAATATTGTGTTCCTTGATCATCCAATGAGTTAAAAAAAAAAAAGATGTACTACAAATTATTCCTTTCATAGTCTCTTGTAGGATCAATCTGATTGTTCCGGATGCTTCACGCCTTTGCTCTTTTTCCTGGTATGCAGTTCTAATAATCAACTTGGATGTCTTCTACATAAATTCGAGTATATATTTTTTATGGGTCAATTCTGTCATTGGATACTTAGTTCCAACCGGACTCTATTGAAGTAATAGGTGTTTCTTTATATCGAATAGTTGCTTAAAGCTATAAAAGATTTCACTTTTAATTTGTTCAGTTTTGACTACCGAGTATGAAATGAAAGGGGGAAAGGGGGATAAAAAGAGAGGGGATGAGAAAGCAAGAGAAAGGGCTTTGATGCAGTAATAACTCCTTTGAAACTTTTTAGTCTTGTATGCTACTATTCATAAAACAATCAGAAAATACTATTACTGATATAATTCTTGTAGCTAGAGCTACCTAAGAAAGGGAATAGGGTACAATTAATATGTAATAGTGAAGCATAATATTGACATCTAGATTTTCAGTTTCTGAGCTCTTGTCAGACTAAAAACTCATGTTTTTTCTTGACGATCAAGATGATTTTTTATTTTTTGGTTCAAAAGAGTAATATATTATGTACTCCTACCAAGTAGTAACAAATAAGTTTATTTACGTATTTGGTAAATACTACAATTGCTTATAAGCCAAAATAAGTTAAAAGTCAGTAAGTTGATCTCTTACAATTCATATCCTTCAATTCATAATTTTTTTAGCTTATAAGTAGTTTCCTTGCACCAAAAAAGCGTTGTTTCCTTGATCTTCAAGAAAAGACGTACTCGTATTTATCCATTTCATCGTTTCTTGTACGATCAATCTGATTGTTCTCGATGCTTCATGTTTTTATTCTCTTTCTCGATATGTAGTTTTAAGGAATCAATTTGGATATTTTTTTGCACAAATTCTATTTTCTGTGGGTCAAGTAGGTGGATATAATATATTGAATAGTTCCTCAAAAACTATAAAAGATTTGACTAAGTTCAAGTTTGACTATTAAGATTAAGAAGGATCAGATTCCACTATGAAAACATTTTATTTTACAGAAGTATAACTTAATACACCACATTGCATTTATGAATCCATGTTTTATAGTTTACAACTGCATAGCCCCATTATTTTTTTGCATCAGCGGTTTGCAGTCCGTATACAACATTATACACTTATTATAATGTTGTATTTTCATCTTCTACAAACTTTAATTGACAAAAACATTACCAAATAGCTTAAATCTTCACTGAATCGCTTCAAATTTTAACTACAACTTCAACATGACATTCCTACAAATCACAATCATCAATTTATCAAATTTTTTAACAAGTCACAAAACTCATTTATGAATTTTCAAGCTTTTAGAAACCCCAACAATATAGTTTTCAAATTTTCACTTAAGTTCACCCCACAATGTTTAAATTTGTGATGATAAATATGAATATCACTCTCAAATTAGTTCTTAACACATAATATTTTGATATCCTTTTAATTGGTGAAAAGAAGTCTCAAATTATACATACAAAATAGGCTAAAGAAGGTAAGAAAGAAGAATATAAACAAAAATTGGTTGGGAAAGTACCCACCTATATAGTTCCTGGTAATTGTTTCAAATTTCAAAAAAGAATATGAAAGTGAGATCCGTTTAGAAATGCAGTTAAAGTTTTGAAACGGTTTCTAAACCGCCAAATTGCCCTCACATGCACTACTTATGTCATCACAAAACTACATGTTCTCATCTTAACCATATCATCTCTAGTTCCGATCCACAATAGAATGTCGCCTACTGAGATTCAACTGGCAGCCCCTTCCGCTCCAATTATACCAAAATGTGTCGCAAATCAAGACGTTCTTCCAAAGAAAAGTCCCAAAGTTAACAACTTGGAATTTCGTCCTCTCGTTCCTTGGTCCACTGGTCTATTCGACTGCTGCCAAGATGTACACAGTTGTAAGTTGATATAATTTTTAAGAATCCCTTGCGCGCTTTGTCCTTCATGTTTTATTTAATTGTTATTGTTACTGTAAGAAAACGTTAAATGAAATTGGAGTTTCCCTTTCATTTGAAGTATGTTGTTTTACATAGGTTGCTTAACATGCTGGTGCCCGTGTATCACATTTGGCCGTGTAGCAGAGATTGTTGACAGAGGATCAACTTGTACGTTTCAAATGAGACATGTTTATATTTTCTTTATTCCAGTAATATGCAAAACTATGTGATCGATGAATCTTTTTTTCTGTTTGGTTAAACTATGCAGCATCTGGGGTGAGTGGTGCACTCTACTTATTACTTCTGTGTGTGACGGGGTGCTCGTGTTTGTACTCATGCTTCTATCGTTCCAAATTAAGAGGACAATATTTTTTGGACGAAATCCCTTGCACCGATTTCTGCAGCCATTGTTGTTGTGAGACATGTGCGTTGTGTCAAGAGTACAGAGAGCTTAAAAATCAAGGCTTCGACATGGCCGCAGGTCTCTTCTATCTCCCTCTTTTATTTTGAGAATGTAATTAAAATCAGGTACTTAAAAAGCAAGATATATTTCATCCCATAATTACTGCTAAAAGTTGCTCCAAATTGAAGTGGTTTTTCTTTGTTACTATAATACATGGATGATGGATCTAACTTGACATTTAATTGGATAGGTTGGTATGGAAACATGGAAATGTGTAAAAGAAGAGGTGGGTTGCCTCCCTCAGTTCAAACTGGAATGAAGCGATAGGTTAATAGCCCCTATGGTATACTGCCAATAGCATTGCTAATATATAAGGCATATGTCTAGGAATCTGTAGCTCAGGTTTGTTTCCCTTGCAACAAGAAATGAAGTTGGATTCAATTGTATAATTTTATATTGTTTGCAAGTTTTTTTCGATTTCTTCAATCGGCACTAAATGTCTAGGCTGTTTATGAATCCCGTCTCTTGCCCTTTACGCAAAAACAATGGCAACTTAACTATATGTATGTTTTAATACCACTACAAGAAATCTGGGAATTACCGACTAAAAATTTGCGATCAAAGTTGGTTGGTCAAAAAGAGCGACCAAAGTTGGCTGGTAAAAAAAGCGACATTGGTCGCTAATGTGGAGAAAATTATTAAATAATTATTTTAAATAATTTACCGACCAAGGTTGGTCGTTTTTTTGGTCGCTAAAGTGGTCAACATGTTGACTGAGCTGGTCAAACTTGCTTGGTCAAAGAAATATTGAAATTAGCGACCAACTTTGGTCGCTAATGTGGGACCCAGTTATAACATTTTAATAATTATATTATTATTTAAAATATTTTATAAAATATAAATAAATATTATTTAAAATTGGCGATTAATGTTGGTCGGTTATGAAAGGGGAAGCAAGTAGCGACCAACTTTGGTCGCTAATTTGGGACTCAATTATAACGTTTAATAATTATATTATTATTATTATTTAAAATATTTTATAAAATATAAAAAAATCTTATTTAAAATTAGCGACCAACGTTGGTCGCTAATTTTTAATTCTGGATNTGTTTTGTTTTTAATATTCAACGATGCATCTGAGTAGGTTATAAGTCGATGAATCAATTTACACCCAGATATATTTGATGAAAAATTATATATACTACTTAGGATCTTGACAAGTCTATCAATCCCTAAAAGAACGTTGAATATTAAAAACAAAACATCTCGACCTATATCTATTAATCTGTTATAATTGATTCATCGACTTATAACCTAGTGATGAATGAATGCAATTCATTAACTCTGTTATAATACAAATAATGAACACACTAACATATACTATAACAAGTTATATATACGTTATAGTATTACAGTGAAATGTCTGTG